TTTGCTTATTTGTTTGGTTGGCATTTTACAGCGATGAAGAGCAGCTGTTTTGGGTGTCAGAAATATGTTGTGTATTTGCAGAAGTCAATGTTTGACAAGCGTTCACAAGAAGATGAATGGAAACGTGAGAGGGCACAACTCGAAATGGAGAATGCTCAACTGAAGATGCAGCTAGCAAAGGAAAGTGTTTCTGTTGGAGTGAAGAAGGGCTCAGCAGCACGAAGTCCCGAAAGCGATGAACTGATCACGAAACTCAAAAAAGCAATTCAAATCAAAGGTTTTTTCACTTTCATATGCAGAAAAAAGCATTTTTTATTGAGAAAATTATCGAGCAATGAGGAAAGATTGGCAGTCGAATGCCGCTGAGAACTCAGAAGTACTCTCAACAATCACGCGAGTGCTATTTTGATGGTAACTGGCTTTGAATGAATGGATCAAATGCATCGTAGTGAGACCACGAAAAGAGGAAATGAGATAGATTGTGAAACGCATATGTGTAATATACAAAGTTAAGATGTACGGAAGACATGTAGGGAAGGTAACTGGCTGTCTGTGTTTCATCCCTAAGCTGCAAACACAGACAGTATACGGTGTGGATTGGGGTGGGAATCATCAGTGCAGCCCCCAATCCACCATTTGGAAATTTTGGTAACATGAATGCGTAGTAGGAGAAGAGCAAAGGAAAGAAAGAAGATAGGGAAGAATAGAAGGTGGAAGAATAAAAAAATTTGCAACGAAATCAAACTGTCTCCGGCAGGCACGGGCAACCTTTGGGCGACACGCGGGCCTGATTTAAATACTTAAGCTTGCAGGCCACCTTTTAATAAAACCCAAGTAGCAATGCACCAGGTTTGCCCATGCGATCACCCGTTTTTGTGCTAAATTTGACACAGTCAGATCGTTAACAGTATGAATGGTTGTTGCTTTACAGTTTAACACAATCAACTCATGTGCCTGTATTTTGATCTTTTTTGAGTAAGGGGAGGGGAAAGGGCATCGGCTAGAGCGGTAATGTTGCATCATGACTCCCACTGTTGCTGAGTTGAAACTAGGTGACAAAGTTCACTTGCTTTTAAAAATACACGTGCAGTTATTCTGTCGAAATTATGCGTTTTACACTTTCATAATATGCAACAACGCATAAAAACAGATAAGTTTTTACCAGTTTATTCATTCATTAAAAAAAAATAAACAGCGGCTGATTGATGTGAGCTGTGAGCTTGAACTTTCGACACAAGATTGTTAAAATTGAATTTGTATCACTGACACAGAGTCTCAAAGTATTTTCCATGTTGTCGTCAGTTAGTTTCGTGCGTATTCTAGTTTTATTTATTTTCGTGAGAATGCAGAGACGTGGCGGAATACAAACACCCCCGCTCGTTTAGCTAGGCAACACATTCCGATTTCCTTCGCCAGCCGTGGTCTCTAGCGTACTTCTAAAGCAAAACGCAGAAGTTGAGGCCATCAACGAGTTAGCCAAAGAGTGATTTTTTAGGGCGGAGGAGGGAGGAGGAGGCGTATGGAAGGAAAAGGGTTAATCGTGTCATTCGGTCCACTTTCGAGTACTTGTGTATTCCACATGAAAAGTGAACGGAAACAGCTTTTTTTTGTTCTTTGTTGCAAATATGTTTTGAGTGGTAGTTTTTTTTTTTTAGATAATCGTATAACATTGCTAGAGAAAAATACAATCGAGCTGGAAGCGAAATTTCACGAAGAAATGCAACGGAACAAAATGGCGATTGCAACACAATCAGACACGCTGTAAACTTTTTTCG